TGGAGGGGCTTTGGTCCCAACAGTTAAAGTCTCTGACACTGGGAGTGTGACTGGCAGAGAGTCTTGTGAATGGTCAGACTGGGAAGTTTCCTTAAGTTTGGCAACCCAGATGGAACACTAGTCCGCTACCTTCAGAGCCTCCCTTCTCCAAACAGTCAACTACTGGCACTGGGTGAGTTCACCTGGGATCTCTGGAGCAGGAAGGAACCAAAGGATGCTCAGGTTGCTTGAAGAAGGCACAGAAGGTGGTTTGGTTCAGTGCTTTCATCAGGGTCACCCAGACGTTGTGGCTGTTCCACAAACTGAGTCGTTCAAGCTGTTTCCCATAGGAGTCATCACTGATGGTCCCTCCAAGACAAAATAGGACGCACACACCAGCATCTGTATAAACACAGGCACACCCCTTTCCCCAGGTTATTAGTTGATGAGGGCCTGTGTGAGCAGTAGCACAAACAGCATGGGAATAGGTATCAATAGAAACATGAACATACTTGAGACGTCCACATTCTGGAACATGGGTAACATCCATTTGCCACACCTGCAAAACCTGTAACCCCCTAGGATTCGTTCCATAAAGCATAGGGACATTCTGACCCTGACAATCTGGACAGGCAGCCACAATAGAACAAGCGAGGGATTGCGGAATACCAAATTGTCGCTAAAGGGCAGTGCTGCCTTGGTGAAAAAAGCGATGCAAAAGGAGAACCTGTTGTCACTTATCTGGAACAGGACCAATTGTCCTCCTGAGCATTACCCTCAGTAAAAAATGCAGGCAATGAGGTATGACTACAAATATGAAAAACAAAATAAGGGTTTATTCAAGACTGAATAGTACGCCACTGGGTGAGAAAAACCTGAAAAAGAAGTCGATCATCACAAGCAGAAAGAACTACTTGATCCAAGCGCTGAACAAGTCCTGCTACATAAGCAGAATCTGTAACAAGATTAAAAGGTTGAGGGAAAAGCTGAAATGCCAAGGTTGCAACACGGAGCTCCACGACCTGTGGAGACTCAGATTGTTGAACAAGTTCATGCTGCCACCCTGTAGGCATATACCAGACCACAGCAGCTTTCCCTGTCTTACCAGAGCCATCAGTAAAAACAGTGAGTTCAACCACTGGTTCTGTAGATGATAACAATTTCTGCCCAACAGGTACTTCACTAAAAAATTTCAGTAAAGGGTGTGAAGGTAAATGATAAGCAATTTGTCCCTGAAAATCTACCATAACAGCTTGTAACTCATATTTATGAGCTAGACACCACTCAAAATAGCAGGATTGTACAGGCAAAACAATTTGCCCAGGGTCTCTGCCAGTTAATTCAATGCATCATTTTCGTGCTTTCATGATGATCTCAGAAAGCAATTCAAACAATCCAGGAACTGTTTTATGAGATCTGAAAGGTAAAAACAACCATTCAAGGATGTGGAGAGGATTTCCCCAAGTCTCATTCCACTGAACGAGGATCCCACAGGGGGAAACCTGATCTATGAGAATAAAAAGTTGAATAATTTGAGACAGGTCAAAACGAAAAACGAAACATTCTGTTAACAATACTTCTACCTGGTGGATGGTTTGAATTGCTTCCTGAGTCAAAGATAGTCATTCAAGTAGATCAGTAGAATTTTTGAGCAGTGCAAAATGAGGTTGCAGTTGTAAATTAGTCAACCCCAAATAAGGGCAAATCCAATTTAATGAACCTGATAATTTCTGAATATCAGTTAGGGTACGAATAGACATCTAACTGAACAGGTTGAGGTGTCACTGTTTGAGCAGTAACAAGGAAAGCCAGATATTTCCAGGGCTCTGTGTGCTGTACCTTTTCTGGAGCAATGATAAGGTCAAATGACTGCAATGACTGTTTTGCTGCATCCGCCACTGTTATCAATTCATCTTTGTGCTCTGCTGAAAACAGGATATCATCCATAAAGTGGTAGCAGAAACAATTTGGGAACTGGCTTCTAACAGGAGACAAAGCTTGTGCCACAAACCACTGGCAAATGGTAGGGGAATTTTTCATTCCCTGGGGCAAAACTTTCCACTGATATAGTTTTGAGGGCTCTGCATGATTAACAGAAGGTACTGTAAAAGTAAATTTTTCTTTGTCATTGTTAGCTAAAGGAATAGTGAAAAAACAATCCTTCGGATCAATCACTATTATAGACCAATCGAGGGGTATCATTGAGGGTGATGGAAGCCCTGGTTGCAGAGCTCCCATCATTGCCATGACAGCATTGACCTGTCGCAAATCACTCAATAACCTCCATTTCCCAGATTTCTTTTTTATGACAAAGACGGGAGTGTTCCAGGGGCTATGCGATGGTTCTATATGACCAGTAGCCAGTTGTTCTTGCACAAGTTCCTGCAGGGCTTGTAACTTCTCTTAGGGTAGGGGTCACTGTCCAATCCACACTGGGGTATCTGTTAACCATGTTAATGCCAGTGGGGGTTGCTTAACGCCCTGCATCACAGTGGCCCCTGTTAAAAATCCGTAGTAATTTTAACTCTCCATTGAGCCAGACAGTCTCTTCCCCATAAAGTTAGGGGGGCAGGGGTGACATATGGTCTCATGGTTGCAACCCACCCTTCAGGATTGCAAATTAGGATAAAATGGTCTGCAATGCAACTTTGGGCAGCTCCCCCCAGTCCCACGACACCCAAATCAGAGGATACCAGAGGCCAGGAATTCAGCCAGTGATACAGGGAAATGAAAGTGACATTGGCACCTGTGTCGAGCAACCCAGTCACCTTAACAGCAGAAGGCGAGACTTTTCCATTGCGCGGGTCACAGATCATCTGTGGATGTTTGTGGGACACAGTCTGTGACCAAAATACTTGCAGAGGTCCTGTTGATCCAAATCCTCCAGCGTGTCTCTCTCGGTCTTCTGTTCTGGGAACACAACTCACAAAAGGCACAAGTTGAACCATACGTGTTCCTTTTGGAATGGTTACAGGAGGGTAGGGAGTAGAGACCATTGCACAGATTTGTCCCGTATAGTCTGCATCAATTACCCCTACATGTACAATTATCCCAGCAATTGTGCTACTTGAACACCCGATTAATAAAGCACTCAGACCATGACCAATAGGTCCCTTAGAATCTAAGGGAACTTTGACAACATCTGTAGAAGAAATTGTTACTGCCTCGGCGGTGGGTATATCCATGCCGGTTGCTCCGCTGGTCTTCCTGGTGAACTGATCGCAGAGGGGAATGCCAGGAGAACTGCATACAGATTATGCTGAACCAGTGAAGGTATCTGTGTCCAAGCGCACTTTGCCGGGCTCACTTTGCCGTTTCCCTGCAGGGGCTGACCATTAGCATTAATTTTGGATTGGTAGTGTTTTGCAAAGTGGTCGGGCTTCCCGCAGCGATTACAATGAATGCCAGGGGGATTAGGTAAAACCTTTGTTTTCCCCCATTACCTCTGACAGGGCAATTAGCTTTAATATGTCCCTCTTTGTTGCAAATGAAACAGTGAGGAGTAGGGCGTAGCACCGCTGCAAGAGCAGTCATTTTTTGTGCCACGCTGCCTACCTTTGAACGCACTGAGACCATATCAGTGACAGATGGGTCTCCTGGCAGTGTTTCTATGATTTTCTGGCAATCCTCATTTGCATTATCTTTCACTAACTGCTTCAGGAGTGTTTGACGCAGAGTTTCGTCCTCTACCTGTTTGTCTAATGAGACTGCGATACGCTTGACAAACTGCAAAAATGTCTCTTTCACTTCCTGTTTCACTGTAGTATACTGAGGACGAGGGGAAGCAAGCTCCATAGTTTTAATCAAAGCTAACATTCCCACCTGTTGACACTGTTGTAACACAGCAGGATCCCACTGGCATTGTAAATCAGGATTACTAAAATAATTTTTTCCCATCAAAACCTCTACTCCTACTGCTAATCTCGGATCCCTTGCAGGAAGTCTCATATTTTCCATGGCTGTACTCTCTGTTTGTTTTTGTCAATTAGCATTAAACACTTGGTATTGTACAGGTTCAAATAAAACTTGAGCTAGATATTCGATATCATAAAGGGCTAATAAATCAGTGTTAATTATGCAAAGCACACGCATAACTTTGGGAGAATTAACTCCATATTTAGTTGCATACATTTGTAAATCTTGAATAACCTTCCAAGGAAATACACAATGCTCATCTTGCTTGCCCAAATTAGGGACAACTTTCACCACAGGGTAAGCTACTATTTCCAAATCTATCCCTGGCACAAATGCAATCTCATCTACAGTTTTTGAAGGGTGTCCAACCTTTTCCAACAGATCCCAATTCCCCCATTCTGCAACCTGTATATGTATGGTCTCCCAAAACCTTCTAGGGTTACGCAGCAACACTGTAACTGTTGCTGGTGGCAAAGTCCACTGGTCAGCTAATGATCATGTCTTATGGCAAGAGGGTTCCCCGTGAATAGGTTGAGAAGCTTGACTACAGACGGAGGCATTTTCAGCTTCCTGCATGTTTGCATCATCTGCTGGGGGGGCTGATGCTGATTGATACAAGCCCCCGCTAGGCACATCTTCACCATCATCCTCCTCCGGCAAGGGAGCAGGGGAAACAAGCCTTTGTTTGGCTTGATATTCCTCTACAAACTCCATAGGTGTCTTATAGCGGCAAGGGCCTACATCAGTAGGCGATCTGTACTTGCGAGAAGTGTGCACTAGCTCTTGGGGTGAGGGAGAGCGAACTTTCAGAGTTTTTTGAGCTTTCAGAGCTGGGCTAGTGGTTTTAGTAGATGAATTCGGGTCCCACACTGGTTTTAATTTGTCCACTAAAGCACCTAATTCATCATCAGAGGGAGAGGTAGCAGACACCAGTACTAGCGGTGGCAGTGCTGACAGCGGTGTCACAGCAGCTGAAACTCCCTCCTCCCCTGTATGTCCCTCCGTGTTTACCACGGACACTGTTTCAGATGACTGCCCGTCTTCCGAAACTTCCTCATTAAGCCAGTCTTTTAAGGTGTTAATTACCAGACGCCAAGTGGTAGGCAAACCTTCTGTCCCTTTAGTGCCCTTCTGAATCTCATCCCACAACTTGTCACCCACCTTTTGCCAGGTGGATACACTAAATGGGACTATGGAGTTAGCTTCAAATCCTTGCTTTTGGCACCATAGTAGCAGGTGCCGTAAAGCATAGTCGTCAATATCTACCCCTTTATGCTTTATAAGATGCTTCCAGGAGGATAGCACCATACTTTCCACTTTAGAGATCTGATTTCCCATTATCAGAATTCCCTATCTTGGTGGTTCACCTTTCACCAGGTGTCAGTTACTCTTTGTGTCTGGACTAGGCAGCTACCTCAGATGCTCTCAGCTACGCCAAGCTCTGCCACCACCCATGCCTCGCCCCATGGGTCGCACTCTCTCTTGGAGAGCACCTCGGAGGTCCCCGATGAACACTCTAGGAGATCACCTGCCAAGGTCATCAGTAAACTTCTGGAGATCATGGTCCAGGGGTCACCATTTGTTGTTGTTGCGGCGGTCAATAAATAAAAAATACACTGACAGTCTAGTACAGAGCAAAGTACAAGTCTCTCTTTATTTTTCCCATGTGTCTTTTTATATCCCATGTTAGTAGCAAGCAGGAATTTTAGAAGGTAAGCAAGTAACAGTATTTTAATTGACTATTATTTGTTACTGATATTTTTGGCAAAGCTCAAGGCTAAATTGAGGTTCTCGCAGGACCGAATCTAAGCACTCCACAGTTGTCTTTTCTTTCATTAGGGCTGCATACATATTTCTCCTATCTCAAGGATACACCCACATGTTTCCCAAGTCAATATCTTCTCCTAGAGAGCTAACAGACCTGCTGTCAACCCTGACACAGCATAGATAAGGGGATGCTCTTGGACAAGGTTGTGCAAAATTCGGAGAAATTGTTCAGTACAGCAGAAATTTGCAAAGACAGTGCAATAACATTGTGCCGGGAGGATTGACCAGCTATAAGTTGGTCTGCTCACTCAGGAGGGCAATGACTGTCACAAAACTTTAATGACACACTTGCAGTTAGTGTCTTTGTAGACCTGGCATCCCCTGACACCAGGAGACATTTTAAGAAGCATATGCCAGTGTGGGGGGGACCAATACAGATGGGGTTCTAGGTCACAGCACAGACTGTATTTATTAAAACAAAGGGAGGAGTGTTACCCAGCATGAGACAGGACCCTATTGCCCTGGAAGCCAAGAACAGTATCCAGAAGCAGACAGACTGATACTTAGCCCAAGGGATTTTGAAACATCCTATTAGATGAAGAAAGTCAACCTTCGTTTGCCTTCACCTGGAAAAGACAGCAACTGACTTGAACATATCTTCCCCAAGGGTTTGCTGGATCCCCTATCATTTTTTCACAAATATTGGGGGTTGATTTAAAGGGTATGAAATTACCGTGCAAATAAGGCTTTATATAGTATGTAGACAATTTATTATTAGCAAGTAGTGATGAGAATGCCTTTATATTAGACACTATACATTTATGTATTGCCCTAGTGAAAAGGGGACACTGTGCATCTCCATCCAAACTTCAACTGGGTCAAAAGAAAGTTAAATATTTAGGCTTTATTTTGGGAAAATGGCAACAGAGAATAGATCTGGAAAGAATAGAGGTCATAATTAGGTTCCCACATCCAGTCCAAAAAAAAGCAGGTACAAGGTTTTCTCTTGAGTCACGGGATTTTGTTTGCCATGGATTCCTAGGTTAGGGGAACTAAGTCTCTGACTGAGGCAACCAAGAACAAAGAGATAGAGCCTATTGCATAAGGTCCAGAGAGAGAACAAGCTTTTAAAGCTATAAAAGGAGTTTTAGCATCTGCTCCTACTCTTGGGCTCCCAGATCCTTCAAAGTGTACATGAATGGAAAGGAAGAGCCAGTGGAGTGGTAACGCAGAATTTAGGACCCCATCAGAGACTGGTTGCATATTACTCAGTTCAACTAGATCCAGTTGCAGTGGGAGCACCAACCTGTATTAAGTCGGTGGAAGCAACAGCAACAAATATTAGAAAAGAGCTGCCCTCTTATCCTGGGACATCCTATAACAGTCCATGTCCCACATGAGGTGAAGATACTGGTGAGACAGTGTGCAACACAAACTTTGACGCCACAAAGGGCATATAGATATGAACTGATCCTCCTAATAGCAGATAATGTAATCTTAGAAAGATGTAACACCTTGAATCCAGTGAGCCTAATGCCTCTACCTGATGATGAACATCAAATTATACATACCAAAAGTAAACCACAGACTGATTTAACTGATGGTCCCTCACATAATCCAGATCTAGTTCTATTTGCAGATGGTTCATCCTGCAAAGACAGCAATGGTCTGGGTGTGTTGTGGTGAGACAGGGAGAGGTAATAGAAGGACAACCACTCCCAACAAGGATGAGTGCACAAGGAGCAGAACTAGTAGCTTTGCACATCTGGGAAAAGGGAAACAAGTTAACCCCTATCTGAATCAGAGAGAGGTGCTCATTTTACAGTGAATATACTTGAATAGCTGTATAAGACTCTGGAGATAGAGAGAAAATTACATACACCATATCATCCACAATCTTCAGGACAAGTAGAAAGGATGAATAGAACATTAAAAGAAAACATAGCAAAAATCTGTACATGCACAAATCTGAAACTGTCAGAAGCCTTAAATTTGGTTCTGTGGGATGTCTGAAATACTCCACAGTAACCCATAGAACTGGTGTTAACCAGCAGAGATTCTCTTTGGGAGACACTTAGCTATACTAGGAACTTATATCACAGCTAAGATCAGCCTGTTGGAAGGAGATGGACTCCTGACCCAGGATGTTATATATATATATATGCAGAAAGGGTTTGAAGGGCAGAGAAAGTATGCACAGTGGTATCAGTCCAGCCCACCTGAAATATAAGTACATGATAAACAACCTGGGGATGAAGTGTTAATCAAGATATTCTCATGAAAATATAAATTGGAGCCTAAATGGGAGGGACCATTTACTGTATTACTGTGTTTTTATTTTGTTCTTGAAGTTTTGGGTAAGGATAACTGGATGCACCATTCTCATATCAAATGAGTAGTGAATTATCAACCAGTTGGTCAATAACTGACTTTTGAGAATCTTTTGTGATTCTATCATGATAAAAATTTCTACCCTATGATAATCTTAACCTTAATCCTACTGTGTTCATCACTTGCAATGATGTTATAAAGGCAAATGGTTAAATGCCTTGAATTATAGAATCAGTTGGGTTGGAAGGGACCTCCGAGATCATCAAGTCCAACCCTTGATCCACTATCGCTGTGGTTGCTAGGTCATGGCGCTAAGTGCCACATCCAGTCTCATCTTAAAAACTGCCAGGGATGGTGAATCCACCACCTCCCTGGGCAGTCCATTCCAAAGCCTGATTACCCTCTCTGTAAAGAATTTCTTCCTAATATCTAACCTAAACCTCCCCTGGCACAGCTTAAGACCATGCCCTCTTGTCTTACTGATTGTTGCCTGGGAGAAGAGACCAACTCCCACCTGGTTACAACGTCCTTTCAGGTAGTTGTAGAAAGTGATGAGGTCTCCCCTGAGCCTCCTCTTCTCCAGGATGAACGATCTCAGCTCCCTCAGTCTCTCCTTATAGGACTATGTGCTCAAGTCCCTTCACCAGCATCATTGCTCTTCTCTGGACATGCTTCAGCACCTCAATATCCTTCCTGAACTGAGGGGCCCAGAACTGGACACAGCACTCCAGGTGTAGCCTCACCAGCACTGAATACAGGGGAAGAATCACTTTCCTGGTCCTGTTGGCCACACTGTTCCTGATACAGGCCAGGATGCCATTGGCTTTCTTGGTCACCTGGGCACACTGTTGGCTCATGTTCAGCTTCCTGTCAATCAGCACTCCCAGGTCCCTTTCTGCCTGGCTACTCTCCAACCACTCTGTCCCCATCCTGTAGCGTTGCATGGGGTTATTGTGGTCAAAGTGCAGGACCTGGTACTTGGCCTTGTTGAACCTCATCCCGTTGGAATTAACCCAACTCTCCAGCCTGTCCAGGTCCCTCTGCAGAGCCCTCCTGCCTTCCAGTTGATCGACACTCTCCCCCAACTTAGTGTCATCTGCAAATTTGCTTATGGTACACTCAATCCCCTCATCTAAATCATTGATAAACATATTAAGCAGAACTGAGCCTGACACTGATCCCTGAGGGACACCACTAGTGACCGACCGCCAACTGGATGCAGCACCATTCGCCACCACTCTCTGGGCCCAGCCCTCCAACCAGTTCCTAACCCAGCACAGGGTGCCCCTGTCCAAGTTGTGGACTGCCAGCTTTTTCAGGAGTATGCTGTGGGAGACGGTGTCAAAGGCCTAGTTGAAGTACAGATAGGCTATATCCACAGCCTTTCCCTCATCCACCAGGCGGGTCACCTGATCATAAAAGGAGACCAAGTTGGTCAGACGGGACCTGTCCCTCCTAAACCCATGCTGGTTGGGTCTGATCCCTTGTCCTTCCTGTAGGTGCTGTGTGATTGCACTGAGGATGATCTGCTCCATAACCTTGCCAGGCACTGAGGTCAGGTTGACAGACCTGTAGTTTCCCGGGTCCTCCTTCCGGCCCTTTTTGTGGATTGGCATGACATTCGCCAACTTCCAATCATCTGGGACCTCCCTAGTGAGTCAGGACTGTTGGTAGATGATGGAGAGTGGTTTGGCGAGCTCTTCTGCCAGCTCTCTCATCACCCTTGGGTGGATCCCATCTGGTCCCATAGACTCGTGAGGGTCCAAGTGGCTCAGCAGGTCACTAACTGTTTCCTCCTGGATTACAGGGGGGTTATTCAGATTCTTATCTCTTTCTACAAGCTCCAGAAGCCAACTGTCCTCAGGACAACCTGTCTTACTGTTGAAAACTGAGACAAAGAAGGTGTTAAATACCTCAGCCTTTTCCTCATCTTTGATAACTATATATATATGTCCAGTAATGAATGCAGGTTTTCCTTGCCCCTCCTTTGGCTATTGATGTATCTATAGAAGGACTTTTT